CCCGGACGGGGTCCATCTAACTGATGTAGGTTTGGACTTATTTAACTTAGCGCTGCAGGACGCGTTGGAGCAGGCCATGGCATTACTTGGGGGTCGCGCCCGCTGATTTAGGCGTAAATGCAGCAGGGGGCTAGTGGCGGGTATGGTCCTTGCCGAACCTATTGGGAAGAGGAGTACAGGAAAAGAAAGATGCTGGGTCGGGTCCCTCCCCTGACCTCGGAAAATGTTTGGGTATTTGGGCGTGCCCTCCGTGCCAGGAAAGGTGGCCAGGGGTTGGCATGTGGAATTGGAAGGCCAAGGTGAAGGCCAGGTATCTTGGACGAGGGGGGAGGGCCGATGCCTTGGTGGGGTGTGTACCCAAGAGGGTTTGTGGTACGGTTGGCAAGGACTAATTTGAATCAAACCATACTTACACCTGGAAATTATTTATGGTTGGTTTATTTAAATATGTTCGTTAATTTATAAATAAAAGCTGTGGCCTTTTTATACCACATATACGTTTCCTAGTTTTGATTGGGGGGAATTAAATGGATTTGGGGATGTAATGGGTTGCACCACACGATAACCGCTACCTACACACAAGGCCCAGAGGAGGCGGGCTGAAAGCTAGCCGAATAGGAGGCATGTGTGGGTGTGGTGGTAAAGATGGGAGTGTTATTTAGCTAAGGAGTAGGGTGGGGTTATATAAATAGTTGACATTTTGTCTTTTACCTCAGCCATCTTAAATCTAACGGCAAGGTAACTATTCCCCTCCCTCCCTCCCCTTTTTTCCGTTTTGTGTTGTTTTTCTGTATATCATTAATGATTTTCTTGTCACAGCCGGCGGGTATGGTCCTTGCCGAACCTATTGGGAAGAGGAGTACAGGAAAAGAAAGATGCTGGGTCGGGTCCCTCCCCTGACCTCGGAAAATGTTTGGGTATTTGGGCGTGCCCTCCGTGCCAGGAAAGGTGGCCAGGGGTTGGCATGTGGAATTGGAAGGCCAAGGTGAAGGCCAGGTATCTTGAACGAGGGGGGAGGGCCGATGCCTTGGTGGGGTGTGTACCCTAGAGGGTTTGTGGTACGGTTGGCAAGGACTAGTTTGAATCAAACCATACTTACACCTGGAAATTATTTATGGTTGGTTTATTTAAATATGTTCGTTAATTTATAAATAAAAGCTGTGGCCTATTTATACCACATATACATTTCCTAGTTTTGATTGGGGGAAATTGAATGGATTTGGGGATGTAATGGGTTGCACCACACGATAACCGCTACCTACACACATGACAAAACTACCTACAATGCTATAAGTCAGCGCAGGGTTAACTGGTCCGACTTCAAACAATGTCTGCGTGTGACCTGGGATCATGACAGTCTGAAAAATGCTATGTATAGAGAATTGAAAATAAAAGGTAAGGAAATACACAGATTCTACACTTCTGACTCTGCTTGATAACGAGGCCGACCCAAGACATTGTGCTGCCTGGATCCAATGATGAAATGCCCCACCCTAATCAAAACCACTCCCACCAAAATATGCCCACTAGTGATGTACCGAACGGTTCGCCGGCGAACGGTTCCTGGCGAACATAGCATGTTCGCGTTCGCCACGGCGGGCGAACATATGCGCGGTTCGACCCGCCCCCTATTCGTCATCATTGAGTAAACTTTGACCCTGTACCACAGTCAGCAGACACATTCCAGCCAATTAGCAGCACAGCCTCCCTAGCAGACCCTCCCACCTACTGGACAGCATCCATTTTAGATTCATTCTCAAGCTGCATGCTTAGTAAGAGGAGGGAAAGTGTAGCTGCTGTTCATAAGATAGGGAAAAGCATAGCTAGGTTAGGATAAGGGTATGCTTTTTTTTTATTTATTTTTTCTAT